GATGTCCACGTTTTGAGCTTGGGTAAGAAGCCTGGGGACCTAGGCTGCCGCCCTTAATAACGTTTCTAGTGGGTAGGGCCCACCAGAGCACTTTCTGTGGGATTTTTTACACTGCTTAGCACCAAAGAGAGGAAGAAATACGCATGTGAAAGCACCGTATCATAGGCTACTCTTTATGTTCCTTAATATATTTATTCATTTTTTTTAATCCTCACCCGAGGGTGGGTTTTTTCATTGATTTCAGAGAGCGAGGAGGCTGGGGAGGGTGGAGAAAGAGAGAGAAACATTGATCAGTTGCCTCCCATACACAACCCAACTGGGGATCGAACTGGTAACTTTTTTGGTGAACAGGATGACACTCCAACCAACTGAGCCACCTGGCCAGGGCTCTGTTCCTCAATATTTTTAAAAAAATTTCAACAATAAGCTATGTCTCTTCTGGATGGATACCATGTATTCATTGAATATTATTTCGTGGATGATTTAAGGACAATGCCAGGAATGCTGTTATAAGTGTAAGGCAAATTATAAAATGCTATGAAAAGTATGATTCTAAATTTGTATATATAAAAAATATATCAATCTTCTTAGCCTTCAAACGCCTTACCCCGGGGTTACTAATGCAGGGATTACCATAGAGACAGCTCACAACCAAGAACACACAAGTAGATGCTGTGTCCTACGTTCAACAACTCCCTGTCCCATTGCAGGTTTCACAAAGAAGGCATATCACCAGGTGTCAGTGCCGCCTCCCTTTTCCTGGAGACACAGCAGCTGGAAGTGGGGAAAGGGGCGCTGGCCGCAGAGGACAATACTAGAAGAGCCTTCTCATGGAGCTCTCAGTGTGTGAGAGGTCAAGGCTCCTCTTCAAGTCCCGCTTCTGCCTCCCATTTCTGCAGACTGGGGCACATACGACGTTGATTTCACATGAGCCTAGGCCATGCTGCAGAGGGGGTAACAGGCAGGGAGTGGCTATCTGCCCCAAAAGACTCGGCCAAGTGTCATTCCCTTGACCAAAAGCGTTGTGAGTTCAGTCCCCAGTTGGGGCACGTACGGGAGGCAGCTAATCAATATTTCTCCCTCTCCCTCTCTCCCCTCTATCCTTCCCTCCTTCCTTCCCTCCCTTCCTCCCTTCGTCCTTTTCTCTCTCTGCACCCCTTTCCTCACTCTCTAAAATCATTGGCGGAATCCCTGGAAACAGCCCACTGAGAGAGGAGGGAGGCACAGCAGCCTCTCCAAAGGACTCCCTGATGTCAGCAGGCAGCAAAGGCCCACCGCAAGCTGCCCGCACACTAATCTCCACAACCTGCGAGTATGTTACCTTATGGCCAGAGGGACTTCACAGATGTCATTCAGGTATGCACCCTAAAATAGGGAGGTTATCATGTATTATCCAGACGGTCCAATGTAATCATAAAGGTCCTTGAATCACAGAACTTTCCGTGTTTGGAGCTGGATAAATACCACCCAAGTGGAAGTCAGAGAGATTTGACACGTGAGCAAGGTCTGACCCACTGCTGGTGAAGATGGAGGGGAAGTGAATGCGGCCACCCGCCCCATTGGAACTAGAAGCAGATTGTCCAGAGCCTTCCGATAAGAGGCCAGGCCGGCAGACATATGGGTGCCGGCTGTGTGCAGCCTTCCTTGTTTATTTTTGTGTTTGCTGCAGTTGCTTTGGTGTCAAGTCCAAAAAGTCACTGCCAAAGCTGATGTTAACGGCTTATGTTTTCTTCCGGGAGTTTTGTGGTTTCAGGTCTCATGTTCATTTTGTTTAATCCATTTGAAGTCAATTTTTGGGTATGATATAAAAGAGAAGCCCGGTTTCATAGTTTTCCCAGCACCATTTATTAAAGAGATGGTCCTTTCCCCACCGTGTGTCCTTGATTCCTTTGTTGTGTATTAATTGGCTGCATGAGTTTATTTCTGGGCACTCTATTCTGTTTCATTGATCTATGTGTGTTTTTATGCCAGTAACATGCTGTTTTTATTACCGTATCTTTATAATATAGCTTGAAATCAGAAAGTGTGAATCCTCTACCTTAGTTCCTCTTTCTTAAGATTGCTTTGGCTATTTGGGGCCTTTTGTGGTTCTATACAAATTTCAGAATTTCTTAATTTCTGTGAAAAGTGCCATTAGAATTTTAATAGAGATTATTGAATCCATAGATTGCTTTGAGTAGTATGAACATTTTAGCAATATAAATACTTCCAATCCATGAGCATGGGATATTTTGGGATTTTTTTTCCGTTTATTTGTGTCTTCTTCAATTTATTTCATCAATGTCTTATAGTTTTCAATGTACATGTCGCTCATCTTGATTAACTTTCTTCCTAAATATATTATTCTTTTGATGCAATTATAAATGGCATTGTTTTCTTAATTTATCTTTCTGATAGTTCATTGTTAGTGTATAGAGACACTACTGATTTTTGTATATTCATTTTGTATCCGGCAACTTTACTGAATTAATATATTCTAACAGTTTTTTTTAATCGAATTTTTAGGGTTTTCTATCATGTCATCTGCAAAGAGACTTCCTTTGGCCTTATTATAGTGTTTGGCTTAACTTGCAGGGGTGACCAACCTTTTGGGGTCTCTGGGCCAGACTGGTGGAAAGAGTTGTCTTGGGCCGCACATTAAATATACAAACACTAAAAAAAAAAAACCCCAAAAATCTCATCAGGTTTTAAGTAAATTTACAATTTTGTGTTGGGCCACATTCAGAGCTACCCTGGGCCGCATGCGGCCTGTGGGCCATGGTTGGACACCCCCAGACATCCTCTTTTGTGTGACAGAGGTGCAGCCACCCTGCTTCATTTTGGCTTCCATTTGCACGAAACATCTTTTTCCGTTCCTTCACTGTCAGTCCGTGTGTGCCTTCAAAGCGGCGGTGAGTCTCTTGCAGGCAGTGTACAGACGGCTCTTGTTTTTCAATCCATCCAGCCAGTCTGTTTTGATTGGAGAATTCAGTTATTTTACATTGAAGGTAATTAGTTTTAAATGTGGACTTTTACTAGTGCTATCTTGTTCATTTGTTCTGGTTGTTTTCTGTTTCCTTTATTCTTTTCCTACCAGTTTAGCATGAGTTTTTTTTCTTATTCTCTCAGTGGGTAGAAGCTGCTCGGCTGGTCCGGGATTTCTTGCAGAGGGTATTGCTTCGTGTGCAGCTTTAATGTGTCCCTGGGAGGCGGTGAGTGCAGAGCCTTCTGTGTTGCCGTCTGGGACCAGAAGCAGCGCTGCAGTACTTTCTGCGTAAGTACTTAATTACTTAGAGCAGTAGTGGCGGTTCATCAAGAGTCTCAGGCGGTTTCTCTTGTGTCCCGTGGGACTAACAGGGCATATTTATAATGCTGGTGTGAAGATGACATAAACCTCCTAATGCGTGCAGAAGTTGAAACTTGAAACGCGGTGCCTGGAAAAGAGCAGGCTTTTCAGCCTTATGTGTTTCCTAGTTTGTACTCTGTCATTTTTTTATCTCCTTTTTTTATGGTTCCCATTCAAAACCAGTGCTCAGTGGCAAGGCGATTCATGACGTGATCTGGAGATCCGCGGGATGCAGGGCAGAAGAGGCCGTGTATGTGCGCAGAGGAAAAATCACCTTCGCTTTCAGCCAAAGAGATTTCCTTTGGGCTTGTTGGGTGATGAAAAATTTGAAATATGTAGGCTTTATCTTAGCATAATATGCATGGTTAACTTCCCAGGATTGCTTTTTTTATTAGCAAATGGAAACTTCCTGTTCCCGGCGCTGGCCCGCCCCATCCAGCAGCATTCCACACGGCTCGCCGTGATTCAGCATGTTGTCCCACTGGCAGCCCCGCAGCAGATTTCTCCTTTGCAGCTGGAATGTTCTCCCTCTGGCGTGCACAGCCAGAGTCATCTGACTGGATAGGCAAGTCCCTTAGTCTGAGCTACTCTAGGCGCTTTGCCCATTCTCTCTTGAGTGGAATTAACTGGTAACTCTGGGGAAGTCACATAAAATCATATAAAAAAGATAAGTGAAAGTTATCTTGAAGTTGAAACAGATTTTCAATGCGAGTTTGGAAGGAGCAAACGGAGAAGAATCGGCAATTTCTAGATAATGGATTCCTTGAGGCCAGAGACTCTGTCTTACTCCTCCTGATTCCTCCACGGCCAAGTAAAGTGCCCGAAACCGCACACACATATTAAATGTCTCTTATGCATTATACTGTCTGCGGCACATGTTTCTATACCCTGCTGTTCAGCAAATGGTCAATAGGTAACACATACCTATTGTACAGCGATGGCTTTACTGAACAGTAACTCATTAGCTTAGGAGAACGGGGGGTCGGAATGTGTTTTCATCTGGCTGGTCTCTCCTCAGACCTGTATCTCAGCCGGGACATTGCTTTCTTATAAAACTCCCCTTCGCCACACTTCTCCCTGTCTTGCCCCGTATAGCTGTCTCTTTCCCAAGCCACCTGCGATAACCAAACCAAACCAAACAAAAAAGCAACACCGAATTTGAAGATATAGACTGACCCTCCGTATTCCCGTTCCTGACGCCGAACTTGGTACATAGAAGGCATTCAAAAATGTTTACTAAATGAACTACAACAACAACAACAACAACAAAAATGTCCTTTTGCTGTATTTTGGCATTGCTGTGTAGAGAAAAGCCCAAACCTCTCTGCACTCATTGACATTCCCCGCGCCCAAACCGACAACTCTAGACCATCCAAACCGAAGGGTGTCAGGTCAGTGCTAGCAATGGAAACCCAGCGCGGAAACAGTCTCTTCGATTCCTGTGCGAGCACTTGCCACAGCTGCGGGTGGGAGTACAGTGGATGGGCTGACCGTCCCATGCTGACACCGGAGCTTGTCCGATAAGGAGACCAGCGAGGACAGTTAGGAGAGAGACCTCCTCCAGGCCCCTCTGCCACGCTGCCCAGGGAAATCCAGGAGATTTGGGGAAGCTCCCAGTCTCAGGAATATCAAGACCCTCTTATTTCAACTAGGTGGAAATACATAGGTGACGTACCTTGTTCTCTGGTGATCTATGTGATACTGGGCAAGATGCAATCTCACAGCAATGCCCATTCAGTCCGGTTTCTAGGGCGATGTCTGGTGTGTCCAAATGCAAAGTGTCACTACATTGCACAATGCAAAATCTATTTACAGTTCAGATTCCAAGCAGGAAGCAATCCTTCCCATCAAAAGTTGTTTAAGAAGCTCCTCCCATGGCCCGGATACTGACACATGCTGGCTTGCCTAGAAAAGACCCCTCCCCCCCACAAAACAAGAAGTCACTCACACAGAGGACGCAGGCTAGAGAGACAGGAACCTAGCATCTCACGCGGCCGTTCTCAGAGATGAGCCGTAAGGCAGGTAGGTGACACAGGAGGGACTCTGTGGAGCGTGACCACTAGGTTCGTGACTTAAAGGCTGCATTTGAGCCAGTGAGACATAGAAGAACAACAGAGAATCTGGTAAGGGCTCCTGGAAAGGGGACACGCAAAAACATCACACGATGAGACAGTTCGGGGCATAGAAGAGGGTCCCATGTCATGGAAAAAAACCATAGTTTGAATTCAAACTATTTCCTAGACTGCCCCCCTGAACAGGATTGCTGTTAGTTCCATGGAGAAAATGATCTGGACATTGATATATGAAATCTCAGTGTATCTGTTAAAATTTATTGTACACATAATATGCAAACATGTATATATATGTGTGTGTGTATGTATAGATGTACATATACATCCATTTATGTATATTGAGCTATATATAATACTTTATATTTATAGAGTAGACATTTATAAATCTTAACAGATACTGTTGTTGCCTTCTTAAAATTCCAAGTTTAAAATCTTATTTATGTATCATATTTATCTACTTATCTATCCATCTATCTATCTATCACGTACCTATGTATCTTTAAACCAAAGACAAATGCATTTGTCACAAAATGAGTACAGTTGTTGCTCATTTTTCCGAAGTTCCTCATTTTGCAGTTCCTAAATGAAAACTGCTAGACTATTCAAAAGTCTGGTGCTTTGTCATTGCGCACACTTACTTTTTTCAATCTCTAACGTTCACAGATATTCATGCTTCTGAATGTTTGTCCCTCATGTTTCTGCATTCCTTCCAGAACTAGTGTGAGTTCCTGCCTCTGTCCTCTCAAACCTTCTATTTCCAACTTTTCTTCTTACTACTTCTGCTTATCTAGATCTTTCTGTTCTTTGAGGCTCTGTCCTATGTTACTCACCTCGGCACCTGTGTCCCTGTGTGTAAGGTTTTAATCTAGTCGGGCAGAAAATACCTTGCCATCTGTGACTTATTTTCTAACCCCCCCAAACTCCTAGCACAGGAGTGAGCCAATGGTAAATGTTCAACATGGATTCACTAGTTGGACTTAATTGAGAAAATCTCATTCCAGGTATGTGACCCGGGGCCGGGCTGTAAATCCAGAAGCGTGGGTTTGCCGCGCATTTACCGCCTGTCACATCCTGAGGTGGCAATGCTGATGGCTTGCATCAAAGAGATACCAGGGGTGACTCACTGCTTCAGAAGATCAGAAAGTGTTCCCTACTGTCACTTGTTCTAACCTGAAGTTTCTTCGTTTTTGAACCCCGTTTCATGAAAAGAGGAATGCATTGAGATAAGCCATCGTTTTTAGACTTTTGTAAGGTTAAAATAATCCGGACATACCAGAGCCTTACCTTGGTTAAGGGCAGGAGGAGGAGCTGGGTTTTATTTGGAAGAGCTCCCCATTTGAATAAACATTTACTGAAGTGACTAAGCAGAGGGACTTAATTCCCTCTGAAGTTGGAGAGGAGTCAGGAAAAGGAAGCAGGCCAGAGAAGCGTGCAGGAGACCGTGCAACCACTCAGGGGTCGGTTTAAAGGGTGGAGCTCGTGCACGTGCACTGCAGGCGTGATACAGGTACACCAGTCGCAGGCACGCTGCATCGCCCCTCCGCTGGAGTCGGGGCCTTGCTCATTACATCACCCCATCGAGTTCAAAGCCAGGAAAGCAGGGCGGTACTGAATGATTATTGCTGTGTGCCTCTGTGAGTCTCTTCTTCGGGGACAGTTTGGTAATCAGGGTGAAACAGAGCCCAGTCAAAACTGGACAGCTCCCCTAGAAACTGCAGCAAACAGTGTGGTTCTCCGGGAAGGCGGTGGGGTTATCAAAGGGCTTATAGGGTTTCTGCAGTTTCCCAGCCGTCGGTGGTGGGAGGGGCCACTCCCTACGTTCCTCTCAGCTTCCTCCTTTGGAAATGAACAGTTACGTCTTCGGGCTTTTGTTCTGATTTTTAAAATCTTTAACTTCCTGTTAGATGAAAGAAAAATTATCTTCCAAATGCTTTCCTCTCACCTCCTGTTATTTAAATGAACTTTAGCTGAAGTACGCCCTGTGGTAAATATTTTAAAAATCATTCTTTTTCTAGGATTTTATAATGGGTTCATTTTTCACCACATCGTGAAGAAGGGTGGGGAAGAGATAAATAATCACGGAGCACCTCTGCTGAGACAGGCCTTTGACATTTATTTCACTCTCCAAAAAGCCTTGTGAAGGGGAGACAAGCTCCGTGTTACAGTGAAAGAAACCGAGGAGTCCAGCGCCGTGTGGAGGCCGCTGAGTGGGTAAGGGCGTGGGTAAGAGCCGGGCAGCTCCAGGTCCTTCTTAGGCTCAAGTTCAAAACCCAAGGTCTTTCCGTCACGTGGTGTTAGAATCCTGGAAACAACATAGGTTTCCCAAGTAACAGATGGAAAGACCGAGGCACAGAGAACCAGAGGACTTTCTCAGTTTTATAGTTAATCAGCATGTTGAGTGCCAGGAAGAAAGTTCAAAGTTCTTTTCTGGGGGGGGGGCGGGGGATAGAGTGCAAGCTCAGACTGGGGCAGGGCGGTGGGGGGGGGGATGGCACAAGAGAATACCCTTTTGTATGATTATTTCTGTTTGATGCCAGCCTTGAGTTATCAGGGTTTCAATATACTGAGATAGAAGAAGAGAACTGAGCTTGTGGTGGTTATGTACATTTCATGTCAAATTCTAGTATTCCCCTGGTGTTTGCTAGAGACCCTCTCAGAGGGAATGTATTTTATGTCCTCCGAAGGAAGGAAAGTATATTTTCTAAACCCTGCATCTTAGCCTTCCTACCTTTCACTACCCTGCCATAGCAATCATATCACATCTGAAGTATGAAAGAACCTTATCTGAGATTTTACTTCTTCTTACAAAAAGTAATTTTCCTATCTGGAAACAATTTCTAATGCTGCATTGCACTGCACTTCCTCTTGCTCCAGGGAAGAAATTTTCCTTGTGAACTTCCCTTGCGTTGTTTTTTTTTTTCTCTTCCATTCTCTTTACTTGGGTCGGCTCTTTTTTTTTTAAGCCTTCCATTCTGCTGAGTGAGTACATTTGGCCTGGTCCCAACATGAGACTCAGAGTATCATTTTTCCAAAAGCCACGATCAGAGAGAAACCCCGCCCCTTCACACCCACTACTAATTATCATACGACAAAATCGAGCTGTTGCATCACCGGCCCATCACTTGCGAACCTCTGCTTCCCGCTGCTCTCATTCCTGCAGAGAATGAGTTTGGAACACATGGAGAATCTGCCTTTGCACTGTGCAGCCCCTGCAGGAGCGCAGAGGCCAGGCTGGAAGCCGTGGGTCTTCTCGGTAGTCATTGTGCTACTGGTTGGCTTCTCCAGTACGGTCGTCTTCTGCCTTCTCCCATTCAAGGTGAGGAGACAATGGTAGTACCTGAGGTTGCTGTTGATTATAATCCTTCTGTCTTTTGTCAGCCTGGTTACGGGTGGGGCCACTCAGTACTGTTAGAGCTGGTGGAAGGGAAGAGGCATGGGGGTAGAAGTAACAGAAATGTGATTTCAACTTGGTCATGGCGTGTGCTTTCGGAGGCTCATCTGAGTGTTTGGAAATGAAAGGAATGAGAAACGCTAAATGTTGGCTGCAGAACCGAGATAGATGGAATCACTTAAGTCAGTCCTTTGACAGATGCCTGTGGAGTATTTTTTCCCTTTCTGGAACTTTGTTAAAGAAGTGCTCTTGGTGGAATAAAAAGGTGTAAAACATGACGCTTGCTCTCAAGGAATGGGATGCAAACTCTAGTCTAACTGAGGGAGGCGACACACAAAGATGGTGGGAGGTAGAACAAGGTAAGTGACAGGTGGTTACGGTGACTTTGAGGAGGGAAACGGCACTGAACTCGGAGTAAGAAGGTCTGGATTCTGGTTCTAGGCCTCCCAAGAACCAGCTGCATAACTTCGAGAAGGACATTTCATCTCTCTTGTCCTCAGTTTCTTCGTGGAGAAAGGGTGAAACTCATTCCTGTTTGGGAAACCCCTGATGCTTATTAGGAATTTCCCATTGAGCTCCAGTCCAAGTGGTGGGTCTAGTGAAGGAAATGCAGACCCAGTAGGTCCTTAATTATTACAGGTTTCTCTGGCTGTTGACTGCACAGCCCTGACCAGAAGGAAAAGCCAAAATGCTTTATGTCATTTAGGGTCTAGTCCATTGGGGCTATGTTCGAGGGTTCTAAGCCTTGGGGAGAATGAGGTGGTGCATTTAAGAAAGGGCTGCAACATGAAATCAGGGTCTGCGGAAACATCTTTCTGAGGGGATCGGTCAGTGAGGGTCTCAAAGATACAGTCCTACCCCTTAAGAGATTTGAAAGCAATTGAGGGGAAACATGCAGGAGCAAGCAGCACGCTGTAGTTGTTGGTGTTTCACTGGGGCCAGTGTAGCTTTGCCTGCATTTTCACACAGGAGCCCGTTGGCTTGTATCACCTGAGTACACGCGAGAGCCCAGAAGCATGGCTAACCGCACCTCCGCTCCCTCGGGGAAGGTAGCAAGCCGGAGTCTGCATTTTCAGGGGCAGTGAAGCTTTGCACAGAAAGACAGAACTGTCAGGAGTTCTGAGTGTTTGGATTTCTGAAGCAGGGCAAGGGAAAGAATAGCAATAGCTCCAGTCTGGAAGTGCTTTTTCCTTCTAAAGACTGCTAAAACTCAAGTCTCATTAGCCAGATGACCTTGAGGAACATAGGACATGTTATGTGTCTTCTCATCCTGCACATGAATGGGGACCCAATGCATA